GGTATCTGTAAGTTCTACTGCTTCCTTTTTCAAAAGAGCCTGGCTACATTTTTCACAGTCCGCAGATGATGACACAACAAAACACACACACACCCACACACATCCCACCCCCAGCCCTAACCACACATACGTAGAGCAGTGACTGTTACTTAGGTCATAACTTTAGCAAAGCTACGGGGAACATGTTTTGACAGTATGAAAGTTACACCAATGCAAGCAAAGTTCTGAAACAACCACATGGAACTGGATATTTTTTTCTTCTCAGTACAAGCACAATTAAGCATTAAGCCTTAGTCATTTGTCATTAAAGTCAAATTAGGCATGAATGTTAGCAGTGGTTAACTTTTTTATACAAAAAAATAAGAAGTCTTGGGAATTGCAAAATTTGAACATGTCCATTAGTTGCACATGATTAAAATCTGGTAAACGAATGCAATTTTTTTTCTTCATAAATTTCCTTTCTCCTTGAAAATTACGACATTTTGGCAGATTTCAATCATGTGCAACCAATGCACATGTTCAAATTAAGTAAATTCAAAGGACTTCTTTTTTTTGTCACTGTACTTGACACAATATGACATTTAAAAATGTGCCTTAAAAAATTACCATTTTTTGTCACTGTACTTGACACATATATGACATATGACATTTAAAAATGTGCCTTAAAAAATTACCAATAGAATGAATCCAGGTTATATGATCGTGACGGTTTGATGCTCGAGCTGATCAGTTGTACTTCTGTTATCGTCTAAGTGAATAACTATTCTAATTAGAAAAGAATCAGCCTCTGATTTCCGTGAGAAAAAAACAAAAACACTGTGGTGGGAATGTGATGGTATGTTTGCGTCATATGCACCCACCGAGCTGTTGCGCGACGGTGTGCCCAGGTCTCTGGCTGTGACAGTGATGTTGTAAAAGGCAATGGTCTCTCTGTCCAACTCAACATCCTTCCTCACTCGAAGTTCCCCCTCCACAGGAGAAATCATGAATTCGTCTTGTAAAGCAAGACAGAAATTTGCTCAGTCATGCTGATCAATTACTGAGCAACATTACAGTTCGGAAACAAAGACGGCACATCAACACCAACTTTGATGATCTCCACCAGTGATGCTGTACTCCACTTTGCCATTCAGCCCTGAGTCTGCATCAGTGGCTCTGAGTGTCCAGACCCGAGGACCTGGCTGGCCCTCAGTCACCACAAAGGGGCCTTCGTAGACACTGGGGAAAGTGGGTGTTACATCATTCACGTCTAGGACGTTTACCAGCACCTACGGTAAAAAGGAGAATTTAACATGATCGCATTTCCTTATGATGAGAAATTAAGATGACATACGGTACTTCTTTAACTCTCACCAGTATGATACAATACACGAGTATACAGTACATACGATAAAACAATACATTACAGGTGCATAATACAATTTAGCCTTTACAATGGCAATACTTTTCCGTTTTCATTGTCTAATGACACAACCAATACAGAGTGTCGAAATCTTTGGAAAGGCAGAATTTTAACAGTACTCTTGTGATCTTGTGTTTCGCAAGTGTGACGATACTGTATTGTCCTAACTGAGTTCATATTAGATGAAATTTGAAAAGAGGGTGTGAAGAGTTGAAGTTCTTGTACGTTTCTCAGTACGTGTTCTTAAACAGAGAGGAAAAAGGATGAAGAGTATCATTACTGTTGTGCTAGATGTCAAACGATGAGCAGGATTTGGACTTTGATCTGTCGCTGTGACCACCAGAGCATAGTGTCCATTACTGATCTCAAAGTCAAGCTCCTTCACAGCTGTAATCCTCCCCTAAACACACATAATCAGTCCATGAAACTTTTTTGAAGTCACAAATTGACACTGCAATTACACTGGCCTATTAACTCTGGTTAAAATTTGACCAGTGTTATCATTATATAAGCTCACCGTGATGCTGTTGATATGAAAAGTTTGGGCCAGGTTGCCTTGAGTAATGGCATATCGCAAAGTGCCATTCAGATCTTCATCTGGGTCAACGGCTGTCACTGTAGCGATGGTGGCGCCCACTGTGTCAGGGCCCTCGCTCAGCACGGTGACATACTCCTCCTCGGGAAATTCAGGGGCGTTGTCATTTTCATCCACAATGTGAACATGGATGGTGGTGGAGGTCTGCGTGAGACAAAAAAAAAAAGCATAGCTGTCACAGATATAACACATTGTGCTGAGTTATGATGATGAATCCTATGCAAATTAATATGTGATTGGCCAATATGACCTAAATAATATTGATGGATAAATTGCAATTTCTGATATCAGAAGGCAAATATGAAACACAAACTTGAAACATTCTATTTCCAATAAAACACCCAGAAGAAAATGTGCTTTTGTGTCCTTTTCAGTCTTAATTTATTGTTTTTGATGTATTGTATTTTTTTTTTTTACCCTTGTTTTTTAATTATCTTTTCTATGACCAAGGGGGAAGAAAGCAAGTGAGAATTTCATTGCATGTTTTTCAAACATTTGTCTTATTCTGCACATCAAAATCAACTTTTGGAATGTTGAATTTTTGAATCTTATGTTGGAACAAATGAATGTAAACAACATTCTTCGACACCAACAGCGTAGATTGAAAGGAGGAGGAGAACATTCCACTAAGACTCTGGTATGCCAACGAAAGTCATTAGGATCCTTATATGGAACCAAGATTAAAATCAACATTTACCATGAGAAAGACCTTTTCCTGGGCTTAGTACGTATTGTGCAAAGTGCTGAATAAATATGCTTCTAATTGAGTCACTGGTGATGTTGAAAATATTCCAATAAATGAGGAAACATAATTATTAGACTTTACTTAACACAAAGGGAGGCTTTTGAATGATGTGAATGATGACAACCATTTAGCGGCACATTCAATAACATTTGAACCTGACTTGCTGTCGACAGTGTGACACATTAGAACTTTCCAATTCCGTCTGAGGGCAGCAACCAAGAAATCACATTCGGTGAATTAAGTGGATGTTCAAAGTAAGTAGTGTTAAAATAGCCATGGAGTCATAAAAGAATGTAAAACTAATGTCCATCCAGCCAGCCATCTTCGAGATTGCTTGTTCTCATGAGAGTCATGAGTGAGCTGGACCAAATCCCTGATGATTTTGGGCAAGAAGCAGGGTTCTATTTTCGTGAAGAGCTAGTCTAGCGCAAAACGCAGTGTAACTGTGCACATGGGTGAGAGTTTTCTTTCTTTTCATATTTTGCCAGACTTAGCACTGGCAGAATTGGCTGTAAGGGAGCATTTGCGCCTTTGTCTGCCATTGTGGGATGGAAATGGTCTTATTTCTTTCCTTTTAAATGTTTTCTCTTAATGTCTTTAAATGGCGTCAACCTACATTCTAGTAATTTTTGCCAGCTGCTTTTGTTTTCTCTGCCTTGCCTTTGAATGTGGTTAACTGCTGTGTTTTTAAAAGCCTGTAGGTGTGTATTTGCTTGTGTGAAGCACATTGTGTTGTCTCGTGTGTGAAATACACTATATAAATAAAACTACTTTGCCTTGCCTTTTCCTGGTCAATCCTAGTGGCATCCCCTTATTTGCAGAGAAATCAGGTGACAAACGTGCCGCCCTGATCATGATTATAATTCGTTCAATGAGCTGATTTCTCCAATGATTCAGATGGATCATCCCACACTGGTGTGATATTTATGAATGCACTCCCATGACGTCCACCACACACATTTGCGGAGCGCTGAATTTGTCTGCCTGCACCTTGATCAAATACATAAAAATCACACGAGACCTCCTGCACTATGAGTTGGATCTGTTTTTTTTTTTTGATTGTTTTGTGAGTGTAAATTCTAATCTACTTTTTATAACCCAATTGGCTAACGAGCCAGGGGCGAGCCAGAAACACCCAGTGAGGCATAGCAAGTCTACCAAAGTCACAAACACCCTGAACCAGACCATTGCTGTGGCAGAAAAATGATGATGTGGCAAGTGCAGACCTTCCGTTGTCTGATGAGTTGGGGGCGAAGCAACTCGGTGCGCTGGACAGGCGCAACACAGCCCCAAATACGCTACACTAGACTTGCACTGGCACAAAAATTAAGTTACACCCATTTTTATTCCAATGATACAGATACAAATTGTTGTTTTTGTCACTGATTATGTTTTTTTTTTCCATTGATTTTGGAGCCGTCCATTCGTTAATAAATAATGGAAAGACCTTTAAAATTTTACTTCTATTTTTATGGAACCACACATTTCCTTTTGCTTTGAACATATATTTATTGGCCTTCCTGAGTTGAATATGTGACCCCCAAGCCCCCCAAAAAGTTTTATTGCTATTTTTTTAATGAGCGTTTCTTTCCCCAAAACATTTTTTTTTAGTCTTGAGCATTAAACTGAAGCGCCTGCGCATAATCTGTCAACTACTACGTCAGTGTCCTGTTGCTTTAAGTGTTGCTGCCATAAAGAATTGTGGTGAATATCATTTTGGTCAGAAGCAACAGATGCAAATACCTTTCCAAAACATTAGTAGGATTGGAATAGTCCTATGCTCCAATAATTTTTGGGTCATGTTACTCGGATAGGATACGAAAGGAAATTTCCTCGACAAAAATGACAATTTTAAGAGGCCCCTGGACTTGTTGCCAGCCAGCACATCAGACAAACAGCCATTCACACACATTCACAGCAATTTGAGTTTTGAACCAATGATCTCTCGACTATGAGGCAGATGTGATAATCACTTCCAGATCCTCCTAATAAAAAAATGAAACAAATCTTTTGGTACTCAAAATTCCGGTTGTATTAGAAGCTCAAGCCAACACCTCAGTAAGTGACAATTGCATTTTATCCCAAAGCTACAATGAGAGAGAGTTATCCTTTTGACATGTTTTAAAACATTAAAATATAAATTATAAAAAATATTTTGGTAACATAGTGTTGGAGTTTCGCTTGTTCAAGCAAGTGGGTGGAGTGGGCGGTGCCAATGTAAACGCTATAAACGTCACGTGACATGAGAGTGGCACAAACTTTCCAACCTCAGAAGCAACACACGCAAGAGTTGGAGCGCAGATGATCAGTCTTCTAATTGTAATTCCAGTGAAGCTGTAGTTCTGCTCTAGTAGAATCCTCGTCAAAATAGTTTGAGAGTACGGGCTTTATAAGGTCCACACATGCGAGCATGGAGTCCGGATTACTTGGGAGTAAAACGATTTTGTTTTGGTGCTGTTGCCTTGTGATGTCCACAAGTGGAGGTGAGTTGATTGTATGACTGAGCGGGCGTGTGTCAGCTTGTTGCCTATTGTCACAGCGAACTTTTACGACAAAAAACATCGACATGGACTTTGACATCATGTTTAACGACATTAACGCTTTTCTGTGCGTTTTTTTTTTAATCAAGCATAATGTGATCTGGGGGATGTAGCGCGAGGGAGAGACCATACTAATAAACTTAACTTGGTGAGATGCGTGACATGTTTTCCCGTAATACTGTGTGTTTTGTCACGCAATTTATGCAGGTTGCGCCAATTTATTATTTATTCAAGTTGAGCTTGTTTTCATTTTTTATACCTTGTATTTCCTAATGATTTACTGTTCAGATATAACAATTCTCCCCATTAAAGATTCCGAGTCGAGGTGACAGAGAGAAAATAAGTAACAGAGAACACAACGATTACAAGCTTTACAAATCCTCAACTAAAGTAGACAACATATTGCAATTATTTAAAAGACACTTTTGGAATGTTTCTCATTCTATTTGCACGAGATGTAGTGTTGGGAACGTCGCGTCGACAGATGTGTAGTGTTAAAGCATCTTTGTGAAAGAAATCTAGTCTTAAACTGCACAGTACATAGTAGTAACCTCCTTGCTAAACAAAACGATTTGCTATTATGTTGGCCTAATACTTCACTTAAATGTGTGTCTTTGTCAAGGACTTTGCCATTGCAAGTTTAAGCAGCTGACTGTTTTATAAAGAGGGGACAGCTGTTGGCTTCAGGCGCATGGTGATAACACCTTACTAACCACTTTGCACCTTAAGCATGATCCCATTGACATCAACTTTAGCATATTATTTGAATAACGTGATTTAGATATAAGAAAATGGTTGTTATGTATGTTGAAATTATCGAGGCGAATTTAGAAAGTGTCTCAAGGGTGTCCTCCTCCTCCTCCTCCTCCTGCTCACAGCCTTCCTACGTCTTATTTGTCTGGAGGTTTTCCTTCCTTTGAGCCCAAACAGCTGTTAGTACCACTGTCAGTAATTGCGTTCTCCACAAACCATAGACGGAAAGAAAAATATAATCAGTGTCTCCAAGTCGAGAAAAAAAACACTTTGCTCCCTGTGCAGCACAGTGACAGTCAAAAATGGCAGATGAGCACTAGACAGGACGTGACCATGTCTGCTCCCCCCCTCCGTCCTTGCTAGCACCGCTCATGTAATCCATCGATCCTCTGTACTGAATAAGTCAATATTAGGGGGCAGTGATTGAAAATGGTTTCCTGGGTCAGTCTCATCAACAGGATGTGGCCTCGGGGAGTTTTTCTACTCTGGAAGACAGGATGTGAGTAGTGAGAAGACGCCCTTTGTTGTAATTTTTTAGGGTATCTTACTTGTTAAGGCTATGGGAGTGAATACCATCCAACAGGCCTCTGCTCTGCTGCAAAGTCTCTCCGTGGTTATTTTCCTTAGTATCAAGGATACATCATTGACCACCAATGACAAAACCTTGACTGCTTCACTACCAACAACAATGTAATGTACAAAATAACCCGCACATCAAACAGAAGAAATTTAACTCTTCTGAGTAGTGTTTAAATTAAATGTGCAACAGTTAATTGATTAATCGACAATCGATCAGCAAATTAATAAAAAATGAATTATTTAGAGACATTGATTAACTCAAAGTTGCCCTGATCCTTGGAATTTCACTTTGCATCAGTAACCGATTTCTGTATCACTCCATCAAATCAGACAGATTAGCTTTTCATCGAAGCACTTGCCACCGTGTGGTGAACTAATGGAAGGAAATTCAGTACAGTACTCTATTTTGATAACAAACAAATTCCTGACATTTTACACATATATATATACACATAGAAAGAGAGAGAGAGAGATGTGTGTCTGTGTGTTCTTTATTAATGGTGGGATGGAAGCTAAAACATGTTTTTATCAGATTCATTCATAGAAAAAAGAAATATTGATGAATAAAATAATTCTTAATTGCAGCTCTATTTTAACTTCAAACTGCTTGTGTGGGAAACAGCCTCGGCATGTTTCAAAATGGTAGCTGCAGGTAAAACATTGTAAAATGCTTACAAAGTGGTGGTTATAAAAAGAGGAAGTGTGAAATCTAGGCTTTTGTGTAGTTATAAATCCGCCAAGCCAAGTTAATTGGACCTTGAATACGAGACACTATTGGCTGAAATACCACCTACATTTTCAGCATTCTGAGCAGTAAAAAAAAAAAAAAAGACTTTCTTTGCTTTATCTTTGTTTTTGCTTCTCCCAGTGGCTTCAGCAGAAACTGTGTGTTGAAGGGATATTCTGGGTTCCTGCTGCTGGCTTCATTAACTCTTAATAGTCTGTAATGCATTTGCATTTGTAGGAGGTGTGAAAGGGGGTGTGCGCCTGGGGAGGCACTTGAGCAAACAGGTCGTGAATTGTCATGAGTCAAATGATACCTGATCTACCAGTTGGTCACTTGTGTTGGAGCAGGACCTCTTTTGTAGAAACTGAAATGAGCACATCAGTGTGCTAAGTAATTTTGGAGGGCTTCGTAGAAATAAACAAGAGTACGGGAAGGAGGCTTTGTTGTCAAAAAGAAAGCTGTCAGATGCACTGTGTTTTAGAACAGGTGGCATTGAGACATATGACAAAAGGACGACTATTTCTGCACCTTGAGGGACTCTTCAGTGTCCTGAGACCAGAGGAAACTAAGATTGGAACAAAAAGCGTTCCAAAAAAAAAAAAAAAGCCCTAACCTATCCCTAACCCCTGTTTGATTGATACTCGGGAAAACACCACCCACCACAGACCACACCTATAATATGACATTCGACACTATAATGTGTTGTGGTCAAATTCAGTTGAACATATGATGGTCGTGATGGCGATTCTAAAGTTTTGCCTTACAATCATCTCAAAGTTTATAACAGTTACAGTATGTACATTTAACGTGATTTACAACAGAGAGCATGGAAGAGATGTCAAAAAGGAGCCAGAGAGGAAGGCAGGGTGGGTGTGAAACCAGAGTGGACGAGGGCTTCCCCTCCTATTGTCCCTCCACAGTGGCAGGAACAGCCATGGGGGCAAGATTCACGATAATCAGCCCTCCGTGGTCTTCCTATTGCCTCCAGCGCACAATGGATGGTGCAGAGTTCACCGTCGTCCTCCACAACCCCATTTAAACATACCACATGCAAATATGCTCAGCTTATCAAAACTATGCTATGCAGTGGAGCAGAGTTGAAACCAATGAAAGAGCCCACTGTCTTTCTCAATACAAAGAAACGAGTCAAAACAAAACCTTGTACGCTTCTTCATTTTTGTTCTAGCTCACCCAAAAATCATTTTGCAATTAGATAGCAGGGTGAAAATGTCAGGTTTTGAATACGCTGGGATTGCTCTAAATGGATTTTTCTTTTTCCAGACCAGTGTTTACAACAAGTGATGTTGTGCTCATACATGACAGCAGATAGAAAACACCTGGGTTTGCGTGCAACCAGTTTAACATGTCCGCCTAAAAAAAAAAAAAACAAGCAGCTTATACCTATGAATATTCGTTGTTAGTAGCAAGAAGACGGGTGGGAGGGGTGAGGAGGAGAAGGGGGTCTTATTTGTGTGGCAGGACAATTCAGGAAGGATGTCCACTCCTCAAATACTGACACACCCGTGTCGAAAATACCCATAGCATCCCTGCAATAATATACACCGAGTATGCATACTTAATGCTTTATTTGCACATAATTCTAATGGCACACACTCATACACTGCCTTACTGTAGCCATGTTTAATTCAGCCCATTCACAGATTTACTTGAAACAGATAGAAATGGATAGATAGAAAACGGAAGGTGTATATCCCCAGCTAACAAGCTCTCATTTTATAGTGGCCACAATATTGCTCAAAGAAATGTCCCCCGACCTCCAGATAAAACCACAGAAAACATTGCAAGTTTTATTCAGAATACAATAATATGCAATCAGCAAACTGATTTCTAACTGGAAAGACCTTTTTTCAGTTAGAAATCGCAAACACCAAAAACCAAAATTCAATTTCACGCACGCAGTAATTTAAAAAAAATGTGGGAGGCTCTGGATAGGTTTGTAGTGTTTTGACCAATTGAGTCACTATGGCAACAGAATTGAACCAGTCACCACTAACGTAACAATTGGGCAAATTTACAGAATGCCTCCCCGCAATGACTTTCTCTGCCCTTGATTGAGCAGCTGGATCCGTCGGAGAAGACCTGACTTTTTCAAGTGAAAAAAAACAGACACCATTACCTTCACACCAAAACTAAGCAGAGCGGCAGTATTAGTAGCACAGATTGGCATTGGCTTCAGAAGCGGCACTTGATTGTTTGGTGACATCTCCAGAGTCCAACCTGTCTCTCGCAAAATGTCAGCTGAGGTAGGCTTCAACTCAGCCTAATGACAACAAGTGGGAAAGAAAATGGATCGATGTCTCCTTGAAGATATCTTTTGCCGTGGCCCTGAAGTGTGACTGATTTAGCACACGCATTAAACATTAGTTTAATCTATATGAAGACTCCTGTGCTGCACCGAAGAACAGGATGTGGTTAAAACTCTATAGTACAAAGAACCTCATGTGTGCTTTTGGTTTCCGAGAATCTACCGGACTTGCAGACGCACAACAACAATCTCAGTCTGCTTTTTGACGACAGTGACTGTTTACCACACTGCCGTCATCAGCTGTGGTTGTAGGAGAGACCAGAATTCAATCCCGCCCAAGCTTTATTTCAGTCAAAAATAGCCCAGTGTTTAGAAAATGATAATACACATAAGCCACACATGGCACCGGCTTGAAAACAGATGAAGTGGAGTCAAATCACTTCTCGTGAAATGCACCCTCAACTAGAACCACATATGACACACGCACATTCCACGCTGAACACAACTGTCAGGAAAGAAATGCTTGCTTTGGATGACAGAACTCAGCTTTCTCTCGTCAACACCGCCAGAGGCCAAACACTAGCACTTCCAGATGCAAAAGGCAAGTTTTGTAAAAAACCACACATGCCACAAGGCAAAGAGCAACTCATTCTCGTGCACTCCCTCAATACCAGACTCATGCCTTGGGTGTGAGGACAAACTAAACGATAGCAGTCAGCGTCGGCTCGAGCTATGCCTTTAAACCACAGCCTGTGCATAGATGACTTTTAGGCCAAACCCAAACATAGTGTTTCCGGGAGTGTTGGAGTCATGCGTGTCATTCAGTAATTACATGCAGTCATTCGTCAAGTGAATAATCTTCTTTTTATTCGTTTACAACCTTGCCGGTCGTTATAATTTTGGACGAATTACACCACCTTTGTCACCTTAAGTGGTAATATGCTCCTCCTTCAGTTGGCATTAAATTTAGTTGCTTCCTTGGTCACCATTGGACGTTTATCTGCCACGCATGTACAGTGAGTGAACCTTGCCATCTGCGGAAATACGAAGCGAGCTCTGCCTTGAAGAGCGAAAAATCCACGAGTAATTTGCGCACCCACATGCCCCAAAAAGGTTTGTAGTTGCTTATACATGCCACAAAATGGCCGAAAAGCATTACTTCTATCGGAATAAAACTCTTCAACGAATTTCAACATACTTCTTTGACACCAACAAGTTACCCCCTCACAAACATTTGTAAACAAACATTTAAAAATGCCGAACCACTAATCTTCCGGCGTTCACTGTACTTTTTAATACTGACTTCTTTGGCAAAGGCCAAATGGGAAAGACGCAAACTTCGCATAGACATCCGATTGCAACCTGCATCCACAAGTATACAAGCTAATGTCTTCATGTGCAACAAATTGAGCAGAATCTGACACCCATGCATTGGACCATACAGTTATAAGTGGCAGTGCAATGCAACTGCAGAGTAAAACGGTGCAAAAATCTATTGCCTTTCGAGATGGAAGGATGCCAACTTCTTAACTGACGTTTGGATCAAGACTGAGACTGTAGAATGCAAAGAAAGCCCAGTACGATTCCCAGCCGATCGGACCGTATGCATGCAAAGGAAATTTGATTTCCAATCAAATGACCGAGGTGTTTTTTGTTTTTGTAATGGGGTCACCCGAACAAAATTCAAAAGGCGTGCTTTCGTCAGAGTAAAGCCATATTTTGTTTATTATTTATTATTATTATTTATCTGTTTAATTCATTTAGAGTACTGTGTATGAAATTGTTTTTTTTTTTTGTTGACCTGGCAATTTGAATCTCCCAGATGCTACGTATATTCATTTAAAGTGATCCAAACACAAATTTACAGAAGAGGAAGCTGTATGCTGCTCAGGCCAAATACTCACAAAAACCAGGAAGTTTGTAATGCACTGAAATAGGCCAGTCTGTTGTTGTACTTGGTATGAACTGTCATGCCCAAGGGACTGGTCTTTGGTATTGTGTTTGCACAGTAAATGTTTCTGTTTTGACTTATAATACCAACCAGTCCTTTGTTGCTTTCTTTAATGTTACAAGTTTTGCTGTATTTCATGTTATGTGTCAATCCACGAAAAGTCTCTTTTACTGGCATAAAAAATAGCAGTTCTCATCTTGCCTCCTCATTAGGGAATTGTGCTCCGAGTTGAGGCTCTCAGGCATGCGATAATGTCCACAGGATACAAACCCCACCTTTGAGATTTGAATTGTTAATTTAATTCTAGGAGGAACCGTAAATGGAATTTAAGCCCTTTTTTACACTGAAATAAGCAGCAGCTGAAATGACTCATGCGCGTGGTGCATAATGTATTCATGTATTTCATGTTTTTCTTCTTTGTAGTGACCGGGAATACATCCCATTCCCCTTCCTCACTGAGCATTTCTACCGCTCACCTTTTCTGGACCTGTCCGGAAGGGGCAACTTTTGCACCCGACTGTGCTCAGACAGGCCTTCCTTTGGCTCCCTCTGACGTCCTAAAACACGCCTGGCTTTTCACGCCGCACAGCAACAAACACTGCACGGGACGGTTAGGCCCACGACTCATGACCTACGGTCATCCGCATGGAAACCACAGCTTGCCACCAGGGTTCAAATTTGGATATTCGAAAAACAACCTCTGGATGGTTCTGCAGAATGTGACCATCGCCGACCAGGGGCGGTATTGCTGTATGGTCCTGGACTTTCAGCAAGACCATAAACATGCCAGCCTTGTGCAGAGTTCCCACAGTCATGTTATACTCCACGTGACACCACGTAAGTAAGACATGAGTGCGATCATGATGTTAATTAGTCAAAGGTGTCAGTATAGCACAGTACCCTCACTGTCCAATGCAGAACCTGAAGTTTAGGATGAAGATTTTTGATTTTATCCGTTTTGTCAGTAAACAGCAACAGAGTACAAACTACAGCAAATGATCCTTGAAATATTATGGATCTAAAAATCCTATACATCCTTTACAGGAACAAATGGATCCCAACAATGTTCCATCTTAGATACTGCACTACCTGGAGGTTTGTCATCACCTCAACATAACTTGTGAATTATTCTGTTTATCTAGCATTTACTGGAACTGACACCGTTTCTGCTCCATCTTCAGGGGCTGTACCAGTGGCTGTGGCCATAGCAGCCTGCATTTTGGCTCTGCTTTCGCTGCCCGTTATTCTGCTCCTTGTCTACAGGCAGAGACAGAACAGCCATTCGAACAGACGTATGTATTGCAGATACAGTATGCCACGCTAACGGGACATTTCGTGAGGTACACGTGCACAATATAATAGCACTCAGTGGAAGTACAGCAAAACAAATAATAAATAACAAATAACAATAAATAACAAATAACAAGAATAAAGAAATTCTTGACAAATGTAATGTTTAGTTTTGAATGAAACTGTGAGTGAGGTTAAATTAGCAAGATACGTTATTGTGGTCAGAGTTTGCAGCGGTCTACAACAGCATTGCAGCTTTAAAATCTCACTATCAAAAAAATAGGAAAGCAGGTCCACTTTCAGCCTAAATGAGGCTGAGTGAAGCACAAACGGTTCCACTTCAAACGTCAATTGCCCTCAATATTTTCCTCCTGCTTTGTCTGAAAACCCATTTCCTGTTTGAGAGTTGAATCAACTGTACACAGAGGGAAACTTGTTCGCACACTACATGTGCGGTTCGGCTTTGTTTCACTTCATACACAATAACCTATTTCCTCTGTCCCAGGTGCACAAGAGCTGGTGAGGATGGACAGGTATGTTTTCCCACAGTCTGCTTGGCAGCTGTTATGACAGGACGTGTTTCGGAACACATCTGGTCTTTTAAATGTCTTCCACATGGATTGTTTTTATATACCCGAATCACTGCCAAATTTAGTTCATCTGTAGATCCTTTTGGACAGCATTTATGCAGCATAGAGTTTATTATTAACAATACTACTGATCAGAAAAACACATTTTGGGAAGAATTGCTTAACGGCTACACTCGTCATGCGCTTTGTTGTTTGATATGACTGGTTACTCCAGGACTGTGTTTTAGACTTACCAAAGTCATTTAATGATTAGTAAAGAACACCAGTTATATGTAAGAAACATAAAAAAAGCTTCATACTCCCAAACTTCTTTCTTGTTTTGTCTTCAGTGAAGCTCAGGGCCATGAGAACCCAGTGTTTCGTCGAGAATCACCCCGAGTGAAGACCGTTGCTCAAATTATGACAAGGCAGTCCTCGGGGACTGGCCGCCGTCTGTTATCTGACCCAGGAACCCCCATGACTCCTTCTGCACATGGGGATGTTTTCTTCCCAATAGAAGGTAAGACACTGGCATTTCTATTTAGAGTATACACAGTTATATCCTGGCCAAACAACAGCCCAAAACTCAGGCTGCAAGACCAACAAAAAAATAAATACATAAAATAAAACTTGTCTTCAATGCTGTTGTTTTGGAGGCGTTGGAGGGTTCCTATGTTGAAGACAAAAATGGGTCCGCTTGACAGAGTAACTGCCATTGAGCAAAGAAGTTAATTTGACTGCTGTGGGCTGCGGCACTGATGCACGGCGCTGCCTTCTGACATCGCTCATCAGTATTAAGACATCAGTACAATGGAACTTTGGTGACTGTACTTTCAGTGGCACAGTCAAATGATCGTATTTCTCGTGAACCTTTACCGCTCTTGGAGGCTAACTCCTATTTCAGAAGTACAAAGGAAAGACTTGAAATATGTGTTTCAAAATTAGAATGATAACAGACTCTGACGCAATAGAAGTGTAACCATGGTGTGAGAGTGTTGAAACATCCCACATTTGCTGGAAATGTTGGCGGATGCTTGTGTAAAATTGCGTGTTCTCATTCGAATGAGATGGCTTGCGACAGATGGGACAAAGAAGTTCAGTCATTCTCCCCCCACATAGCTGAAAACTACGCTCTTTGCGTTTTTAAAAAACTTTATTTTCCAACTCAGCAGTCATATCTTTTATTTCCTCTTTCATCTATTGATATTATCGTACAGATTCACTCACTCTACTATCCGAGGGAAAAACACACCTACTCGCACGCACGCACGCACGCACGCACGCACGCACGCACACACACACACACACACACACACACACACACACACACACACACACCACAAACAGTCATATTAACAAAAGTAAAATACTTTTGTCAATTTGGATTTTCCCTGCCAGCAGTCATATTCTTCAGCATATTCTTCTATGACGCAAATCACACAACCCAATTTCGTGTCACAGTTTTTGTTTAGTGTGATTAAAAGCCACACTTCAGCTTTCTTCCTCATCTTTTTTGGCCTACTGAGAGGAACCTACCAAGAAGCTGGTTCCTTATACGGTGAAATGTTGCAACTCAGACTTTAAAACTTTTCAAGGTGTTTTGAAGGGCTTCTAGATTATGATTAGTAAGATATTGAGCAGTTGTGCGTCAAACCCACCAAAATATTACCATTCTTTTTTTGTTTGTCCTACCAACAATGTTATTCCCATTTTAGCACAGAGATATGACACATGCATTTGTTATACCTGTGATGGGATTTTAACAGTGTCAAGTTAGAAATATGCTTGAATTTGAATATCTATTCAAATTGGGAGTCTCAAACTATCACCCATGCACTGCAAAAATCAGAATGAGGGAAAAACAACAACAACAAAACGCAATTTGATGCCATGTGATCGAGAAGTAATCTAGAATGCTTGGCTCTGGCTCATTGTGATTGCAGCAGTTGTAATGTCAGTTACAGTTTGTAAAGCGTGTATTTAAACAAACAAAAAATAAATGTGTAATCGGCTGACAAATTCAAATTGGCTAAAAGTGATTACGAGTCCAGGCCATTGGGAATTCTGTTCAGTCCATGTTTATTTCAAACTACGCTTAAATTGAATTTTGCTAAATCCAGAGAAAGCCTGTGAGGATTACCTGTGTAATGTCTCTGTTCTCTGCTCTTATTGGCCTGCTTTTTTTTCTCTATTACAGACACCATCCCTGAGTCTCCAGACATCCTCCTGCTTTAAAGAGGGATGAGACTCCCTCCTCGCTATAACTGCTGACCTGGAAACAGCTTTGCGACTTTTTTGTTTTCTCCTCTGTGCCTCCAGAGCAACGTTTCCCTCGGTCTTTCTCACAATTACCTCTGCTGGGAATCTCATCTGTGCACTGTGTTTGGTCTGTAGGAGGTAACGGATTGACTGCATTTTGATCTCAAACACTCCTTCCTGCACCTGCAAAAGCTGGAGGCTAGAAAGAAGTAAGCTGTGATTGGGAACTCTTTTGCTGTGGCAGGGTCGAGGGTACGTATGTGGGCGTATCCCATCCAAACACTGACGACTGCTGGGGATGGGTTCCACTGTTGGAGACGGTGGAGTATTGAAGGCTTTGTGCAAGGTTTCTATGCCAGGAGGATATCAGGTGACACAAAATGTATTGTTTGGTCTTATTTGGGTTGATTTTTTTTTTTCAGTTTACTAGCCAGGCTCTCATTTAAAAGTTTAGTCCATCCATGACATGAATGGTTTTCAGCAGCGAACCTATCTCAGCTAATTTTGGAAAGGGACAGGCTACATCTTAGGCTGGTTGGAATGAAGCATTGGTGGAAACTGATACGACACCAGATGCACGAACGTTAGTTGTTATCACAGCTACACCAGCGTGCATGTCCAGACGTCACAAGCTTTTTTTTGTGTGTGTGTATGTATTCTCAAATTGAATGCTTGAAAATAGTCTTCCATGCAGATCATGTTGAAAGATTACACTCAAGAAACCATATCTCTTAACTGAGGTAGTAAACCTGCCGTATTTCTCGAAATGAGTACAGTAATAACAAAACTTGCATTGGCCAAGGGAAGTACAGTTCTTGTTTCCTTTGCTCCCGATCAGGTGAGCTGACCTGTAGATGTGAAAGTGAAAAAAAAAACCCCCACAATGTACTGACGCTCTGCACCCCCGCTCAGTGGTCTCAGTTGCTTTTTACTGTGCTACATCAGTTCACTTTCAGCTCTGCTCCAAATCCACATTCCTTCTTAGTCTCAATAGTCAACAATTTGCCATGGGATAGATCCACATTCACATTTCAGCACATCCTTATCCTGCAATGGTCTGAGTACAATGAAAAATCATGTAAAGTTTGATAACTAGCCCAGTTGCCTTATTAAAAAAAAAAAAGAAAAAAAAAACAATATAACACATTTAATCACTGCTGTCTTTGTACAGTTTATCTGTGGTGGTGGATTTGATTTATTTTCTTTTTTTTGTGTTGGAATTTCCGCATTGAGTTGTTTGAAAATAACGTGAATATCGGAGTTAAGTGTGGTTGAATGACAGCAGATAGAAAATGTAGCTTTGTGACTGTGAGAAAGAGTTGCTTTCTCACTTGGAGTGTACAGCAAGTGCTCAATGGATATTTTCCTGCAAGTTCTGCGAACAGGGTATTCTGTAAATACTGTACGGTATTGTATGTGTGTTTTATTGTCTTGGAGATTTATGTGACCACAAAGATTTTATGCAAATTTGCCTCTGTGTGAATGAAAACATATTGTTCTGTATATTGTCCTTAAATCATACCGATTGAAGCTTTAATAATAAAAAAATAAATAAAAATGGACCTGTTCCACCATACCCTTCTGTTGTTTTAATTTACTTGCACTAAGAAAACTCCTATTGTTATGCTTAAGTTTGGAGCACCAACACTTACCGTTTGGTTAAAAGTCATCCACTACATATATGGTAACATGGTAAGAAATCACCTCAGAAGAAAACAAAACAAAATAATATTCAACACAAAGTTCTTCAATATTGCAGAGCATTTTGAGCTGGAAAAGCAACATTTTTTCTTCCTCTTTTTGAAAACGGGGCTTGTGGCTTTCTTGGTGAAGGTGTTTCCTGTGCCGTCAGCAACTTCTCATTTTAGTCGACTGTGAAGGTTATGTGATCTAAATTCTAATTGTCTTTTATGCTGCATCTGTCACTCTTGTCAATGTAGGCAACCGTGATTGTAAAGCCTGAATTGGCCAAAAGAGTGGTGGTAAAATGGGATGACACTTGAGGAAAATAGATTCCACCGTACAGTGGCAGGAAAAAAAAAAGCGCAAAATTTGTACCTTGAAGTAAAAGACGGTAGTAAAAGAACATAGAGATCCTGTCAGTCATGACCCAATGTGTGACATTTTAGAGTTGCTCAAGTTAATGGCGACTCTTTCAACATGGACGAGGAGAGATTCAGTGGAAGTCACCGGCATGTTACTTTTTTGTACCGTACATAAGTTACAGTCACGATTTCATGTTAATTTCATGTTAACAATGTCCAACTGAAATTCATGAAGACACACATTCAATGAACTACAACCTTATGATGGAAAGGGTTAAGCATTGTGTTCTGTATCATGCTGCAAAGAGCAGCCGAAAAAGACAAAATTACACAAACATCCAATTTTTTTTTTTTTTTTACTTCACAATAACCATTGACAGTTCGTTTGCATAAAGTTGCCCATCATCCCTGGTCTAGTTTTACGATTGCTGTTTCTTAGAACAGTGGGCTCTTTTGGGAAAGCATTCACATAGGCCAAGCACTTGCATGTACCTTTACATATGAACAAAATGGGACAGACACAGTCCCTTTGCTATTTTGGACCAATTATATACCTTCTCTAAGCATAAAGTACATACAAATACGCAAATGTGCGTTTCCAGTAAAGTGCTAACCATAAAGTTCAAAGGTTACAACTGCAATGAAAAATATGCTTTAATTGAAATCTTTTTGTCATCAACCTGACCTGATGTCTGTTGCCTCTTTAGTTATTGTTCATTAAGATGACAGAAAACCACTTCACCTGATTTCAGCAGGAGTCCTGAATGATGGTGTTTTTGGAGGTGATGGTCAAAAGTCATGTGATATAATGTTTACAACCGTTTTGTTTTTGTACTGCACTTTTTGGGGATGGGTGAAATCACTCAATCTTGGTCCAAATAATGTTACTTGATTTAATTGTAAACCTCTGTGACAGTTCATGTTAAGAACTAAATTATGATGACACTTTGCAAAATTCATGCAAACAGGCAGCTAAAAAAAGCTAACTGGATTGTTTAATTTCACACTTGATGGTTGGCCAGGCACTCGAGAGACCCAACTATTTGTATTGAAGCAATTAAAAAGTACATTTCCATTATATGTTACTTTTATAAGTTTTATAATGGTGGCAATTTGGACTCTAGGAAGTCTTGAAATGATAATTGATCTCATGGGGATTTTTGTTTTGCAAGTCACCAAAATCAAAGTTTGTGGATTGCAGTCGAACATGAAGGTGCCACTTCATTTGTGTGTTTGTCATCCTTACCGACAGAGGAGGTGTGCCATCATCCTCCACGGTCACAATGAGTGTGTACTCCTGCTGACGCTCTCGATCGGGAGGGGCGGGCCGTGTCACCATCTCTCCCGTCATGCGATCCATGCGGAAGGTCAAGTCTTGGTTTCCCGCGGTGATGTAATAAAACAGCATGGCATTAGGACCCGTGTCCCAGTCTGTCGCCACCACGCGCAGGACTGATGTGCCGCCTCCAACGTTCTACATTTGAAACCATAAAACCATCCATTCCAATTGCCGCTGACAAAAGACCATATTAAGCAAGGAACATTTGAATCCAAAAGTGCAAGTGAGGCAATGCTGTCTGTGTTTCTGTCTCACCTCACTTATGCTGACATTGTAGCCCCTTGGACTCTCAACAATAGGTGGATTGTCATTGACATCCAGGATATTGATAGTGAGGGAGTGGTCCGTGTGTCGGGGAGGTGACCCATTGTCTGTGGCCCGCACCTGCAACAGCATACACATGCATGTAAATCTGAGCCACTATTCATTTGAACACCCCGAAGAATGTGCTTGTCTGTCAGCAAAAGTTCAATACAATGAAACATTTCCACATTGAAACGAATGAAAATAGTTTGTTGCCTTCCCCCGAAAAATTTTTAAAAAATTGTGAATAAGAATGGTTTTGATTTTTTTCCTGTGCTTGCGTGGGTTTTCTCCGGGTAAATCCCACATTTTAAAAACATGCGTGGTAGTTTCATGCTACATTCTGAATTGTCCATCGATGTGAGTGTGAATTAACTCTTTGCTCCCTGTCAAACAGCACAAAACATGCTCAGGGAGAGCAGACAAGAAAGACATCATGGTGGGAAAAACGCGCACCAGTACGTTAAATTTTTGTTGGCGACATAAAGCTAAAAGAAAAAAGTGCAACGGCGCATAACTTGAAATACTGTTTTGGTACTCGTAATTCAAGATTACCACTGCAATGTCCTTTATAGCACATTCTATCATAAATCACGTGTATTCATTCTGACCTTGAGCAGGTAGCGATCCACCGACTCCCTGTCCAGAGCAGCATTGACATAGACCTCCCCATAGGTGTGGTTCACTGTCTTGATCTTAAACACATCTTCCATATTGCCTGCGACTAGAGTAAAGTTGACCTAAGATGGCATGAGAAGTAATAAAGGGAGAGATGAATAGAAGGGGCGAGAGACAGACGATTGAAAGAGTCCCTCGGCTCATCTCGTTGGAGTAGTTATGCAGTCAGCACGTGTTATCCAACGACAATAAATCACATCGAAGGACATCACGATGTTTTCTCTCTCTCGCTCTTACCAGTCCATTCAATCCTGCATCTCGATCTCTTCCCAGAACTACAGCCACTCTTTTCCCCAGGGCGATGTTTTCCAGAATGTCCACTGAAGTATCAGATGTGATGTCAAACTCGGGACTGTTGTCATTCTCATCAAGTATAATGATCGACACCTGTCACGAGACAAAGTCCGATGTTGCTACGAAAGGCAACTTGAGATGAACATCATTTGTACGAATTCTGCAGATGACCGCCATATCTTACCTTCTGTTGTTCCAACAAGAAATGCAAATAATACAAAAGGGAGAAGGTAAAAAGTTCGAAGATAAGACTGGTCAATATTCATTCATTCATTCATTTTCCGATCCGCTTATCCTCACAAGGGTTGCGGGGGGTGCTGGAGCCTATCCCAGCCATCTTCGGGCAGTAGGCGGGGGACACCCTGAACCAGTTGCCAGCCAATCGCAGGGCACACAGAGACGAACAACCATCCGCGCTCACACTCACACTCACACCTAGGGACAATTTTGATTGTTCAATCAGCCTGCCAAGCATGTTTTTGGAATGTGGGAGGAAACCGGAGTACCCGGAGAAAACCCACGCAGGCCTGGGGAGAACATGCAAACTCCACACAGGGAGGCCGGAGCTGGAATTGAACCTGGTACCTCTGCACTGTGAGGTCGACACATTACCCACTGTTCCACCGGGTCGCCCCGGTCAATATTTTTTTTACTTTTTTTTTTTTTTAAACCGTTTCAGGAACAACGGTGACTACAGTGGGCCACTAATCATGTTATCAGGTTCCAGGGTGCATGAAAGAGTTTAATCAGAGATGCAAGTAAAGTGGAGATCAATCCAGAAACAAATACCCATACCACAGTTGAATCTTTTTTTGGTCCTCCGTCATCTGCGACCACAGTCAAGGTATACATGTCCCCCTTCTCTCTGTCGAGCAGGCCTGTAACTGTGATACGGCCCTGAAACATCATCCTAATGTTTTTCACCCTTCATCCAAATTTTGAGCAAGACAAAGAAAACAAAGCCACATTATTTCTTTCTCACCGTGACACTGTCGATCTTGAAGAGGGCCAGGGCTGCAGGTGACGTATCTGGATCGAATCTATAAGTCAGCTGGTTCAAGTTGTCAGCAGACTGGGCCTGCACCTGAACCACCTCCATCCCCGTGGCAATATTCTCACGTAGCGACGCTTCATAACTGGCCGAGGAGAAGGCCACCGCCTCGTCGAGCTCATTGAGTAAAGTGACATAAACCGTGCAGAAGCCTTGGTGGAAAGGTGGGGCCTGGTCAGTAGCTGAGATGTTCATCAGATAGCTGGTCTTTGTCTCATAGTCCAAGTAGTCCACTGTGGTTACCAGGCCGGTGCTGACGTCCACTTCAAACTTGCGATCCGAGCCGGACACAAGGGCATAAGCTACTGCTCCACCGTCACCTGACCAGAAGGGAAAAAAAAGTTTTGTTGGTAGTGGTAGTGGTGGTGGTTTGTTTCTACCAGTGAGGGATAATTGTGATTTGTTTCTGGATACAATT